AGTGCTGGAAAACGGCACCAACTGCAGCCATCATCGCTACCCTTCCGTGCTTGATCTCGGCAGCGCGCAAGTTGCGGAAGCCGGCCAGGTCGCCTTTCTTGCAGAAGCCGGCCGGGTCAAAGTAGCCGAAGGGCTCGGTCACGCCGACCTCGTTGGCAGGGTCGAAGCTAGGCTGAGGTGGCACATCTTCGTCCTCGCCGCTCAAAGACTTGCCGGTGCCCGCACCCACACCGGTGGTGGCGGCCACAGTTTTCGCACCCGCGCTAGCGCCCGCCTTGGCTGCGGCAGCCTTTGCCGCAGCAGCCGCCGCAGCAGCGGAGACGGGCTCAGCTCGGAGCGGCGAGGCAGTGTAGTTCGCCCAGTCACCCCACGCGGATCCTGTGAGGCCGTCCTTTCAGGGGCACAACCGAACTGATCAAACACTGCCAAAAAAAAGATCTATCCATGCTCATGCTGCTTTGCAGCTCACGCACATCCCATGGAACTTACATGGGTATTCGCACTATTCGCATCTTGCCTGGAAAAACATGCCGATGATGGCCATCATGGCGAGTCTGCCGTTCGCGAGCTCAGCGGACCTAAGCCGAGTTTGGAGTAGCTATCGAACGAGACCCCGATTATCCCGAAAGCTAGCAGGCATCTCAGCACAGGCGCCTGAGCTTGAAGCAGCTTTGCTACCAATGCCGAGGTGAAACATTTCAAGGCGCATGTCATTTCTAGCCAAGCTCGTGGAATACCACACGATGCCGCCAGCAGCCGCACATCAGGATGCAGAACAGGTTGTTCTGCCAATGGCAGGTGCCGACGGGCAAGCAGAATCGCGGAAGCAACAAAAGTTGAGTCCTGACAGGACATCCACCCACCCGACGACAGCAGCGAGGGGCGTAGATTCCAAACACACTTGGCAGGTTGCTCCCCGTGCCAGAGCTCCCACCCGCCGAAAACAGCGACAAGGGCGTCGATTCCAAACGGAATTCTCAGGATGCTCCACGCATCAACACTCCCACCCACCGAACACTGCGAGAGGGTCGTTGATTCCAAAGAGAATTCCACGCGCCAGCGCTGCCACGCGCCGAATACAGCGACAAGGGTGTCGATTCCAAAGAAACTTCTCAGGACGCTCCACGCGCCAAAAAACAGCGAGAAGGCCGTCGATTCCAAGCAGAATTCGCAGGACAATCCACGCGCCAGCGCTGCCATGCATCCCAGGCAAAATTCGCAGGACGCTCCACGCGCCAGTGCGGCCACGCGCCCACAACAGCGAGAAGGTCGTCAACTCCAAACAGATTTCTTAGACTTTCTTAGGACGCTCCAAGCACTAGCGCTCCCACACGCTGACGACAGCGACGCCGGCGACCTTGAAAATTCGCACGACGCCTCAGCGAGAGCCTTTCGACACGCAGGATCCCCGGAGGGGTGCATCCCGCCGACCACCGCCAGACCCTGCCAAGCCCACCCCAGGCAAATAAGAAATAAGATAGAGTACCATAGAGGCGGCGTAGGTTCTCTTGTGTACGTATCGTATGGGGGCGGTGTAGGTGCTGTGCTGTACGTGCTGCGATGTAGGTGCTGATGTGTATGTGAGCGATGTAGCTGCTATCGCGTACTTGGTGCTGTGGTGTACTTGGTGCAGTGGATTTGAGCGGGGTAGGTGCTGTGGTGAAAGCAAGGCAAGCGTTTTTTGACAAATAACCCTTCGCGCTGCTTTCGGGAAAATGGTTGCGAAGTTTCAAAAAGTATGCTAAGCTTTTTCGACAACAGCAAAGTCATAGGACAAGAATGATAGGCTAACTACATCCTGTCCCCAAATGTAAGGAGTCTTTGTCGGGGCGAAAGACATCTCGGCCAAGTTGTTTGGGATCCTTCGAGCGACTATACCACCTTAGATACAAATTGTTCCAAGATACAGCTTCTTAGTCTTCTCGGCCGGATCGCTGGAGGTCA